TCCCCCAATCCTTCTAAAAACAACCCACAGTAAGCAATGAATATTTAATTTTAAAATGGGATTAAATAAGGATTGGATTCTTCACTTTATGCCTGTTATAGCTGTTGCCTTTCTGCATGGCTCAGGGTGCTGCAGGATATGACCTGAGCTGAAGGTCCATGGAGTTCAGGCTCCCTCTGAATGTGCATGTTCTATCCCAAACAGTCACATTTTGCAGGAGATGCCGAGGGATTACCGTGATAAATACCAGCTTGGCGTGGGAATGTTGGCCAGCTTATGGTATAGCAGAGAAGCTTCAGTCTTAAAACTTGAATTCTTGCTAGATGACAGAATGACAGAGCCTGTCCCTGGTGCCCATCACAGTCCCTGTTTTGGAGTGATGCTCCTGCTCTAGGGTCTCATGGGACACACAGGGCTGCTTGTGTAAAGTCTGTGCTGTAAAATTCCCTGGCTGTTCTGAATTCATTCTTTTTTAGCAAGAAAGTTGCCTCTGAGTAGGGGGAAAAAAAATCATGTGCCATCATGTTTTTAATGTGTGACTGAAAATCCATGACAGCTTTTACTGTCCTGCATATTCAGCCTTACTGACAGGTATCCATACTGGTAATACTGTTAAACCAGCTTTAACTGGTTAACCATCATAAACTTCTTTGTTTGGGCCTGAGTTTGTCTGAATTTTGTATTACCTCTTGTTAGACCAGATTTGCTACAGGACAGAGCCCTTTGATCGAATTTCTGTTTCTTACGTAGGTACTTGCAAACTGTGATCAGATTGTCCTATTAACCTTCTCCCTTCATTAAGGAGAACAGATGGTGCTTCTGGAGCCTTTCTCTAAGCTGAGCTCTTGGTCCTTTAATCATCCTCTTGGAGGTTCTTTGCACTGGATTCAGCTTTTCAATATTCTTCTTGAATTGCAAGCATTAAAACTTATTATAATTTTGACAGTGCTAATCCCACATGCTGATTTATTTTTTATTTTGAGCATCCCACATCCAAAGTTCTCTGAGCTTCCCTTAAGCACAGGACCATTCCAGCACAGTGTGCTCAGCTTCTCTAATTGAATGTTGACCATGAAGTTCCTGCCAAAATCGATGGCTTCACGGGATGCTGCCCTGTTGTTTGTGTTGCTCTGTGTGTGTGGCAGTACTGAAGTTCATGCTGTGTTCTTTGGTGGAGGTTATTTAGCCATGTGGAGCTGTTGTTCCCTTCTCAGTTATTTAGCAGTCCTACAATGTTTGCCATCCTCAGGCTTGATAAGTAATGATTTTAGGTTCTCTTTCACTCACACCACGGAGCCAAGGAGCAGCCTCTGCCAAGTCCTCAATAGGAACATGCATGTGTACACGTGACTGTTCAGTCACCACTGCATGAAATGATTTTCATCCATTAATACATGTCATGCTATTTCCGTGTCTCAATCAAATCATTGTGTAGCATGAAGCTAAATTCTGTATGGGAAGTCTACAGTGTCATTTAATTGACTAAAAACACGTTAAAGTGTATTATTTTATACTTTAAAAAAATCTATAATACTAGGTACTGTGCATTCTGGAGAATTTCCAATTTATACAGATTAATTTTATCACACTCATTTATTGGAAATCATTCTTAGGATTTTCTATTTAATTCTTAAAATACTTGGCACATCAGCAGGTTTTTTTCCAGCTACTGTGACTTCAATGTACCCAACATATTTAAAATTGATATCAATAATAGAGTGTTTCAGGATGTTCTTTTAAAACTGTGGTGCAAGTCATTCAAACCTGCTGAATTTAGGTTCTGTTTAATTAGCTGCACTTTCAGATTCTGCTTAGTTGGTAGTAGAATAAGGAGTATGAAGCTGATGATGTAACACATGCAGACACCACTTAACTGCTGCCACTTTGCAATGAAAAGTGTTAAAATATCTTACCATTTTTTTGACCCCTACCATGTAGAACTGATTGAAATATCAGTGGAATAATCTTCAATTGCCTTAAACCCCACCCATATGGTTCTTAATTTTATTATCTAAATTTGCCTCTGAGCCTTCCTTTATTAAACTTACAGTTGCTAGTTTTTGGTCCCTTGTCATCACCTTTCCCTTTCTCCAGGGTGATGTGTGTTTAATCCTGTGTTTCCCAGTGGCTGATTGTTGGGCACAGCATTTTTGAATTAGTGCATTGTCATCTGGGTGGTGGTGATAATGTTTGGAGGGCATTTTGGTGGCAGCCATGTGGGACCTCCAGTTTTTCTGTGCTGAAATCCCCTGCAGTAGCTTGGGCTTTACTCTCTACCCTTTCTTGATGATTGTTAAAGAACAAGAGTAAAATCTCAGCTTCATCTTTTATCTGAGCTATCACTGACTCAAGGAAATACTGAGAGTTGTTCCATTTCTTCTCTATTTGCCATTCACAAATACATGAAAACCAATTATTTCTCCATGTTCCATGTTTGCCAGCATGCAGTACCTTTGAGGAGTGGCGTTTCAGAAATGAGAATTCTGGCTTTTCTGATGTGTTGCAGTCTTCTTCTGCCTAGACCAATAAAACAAATTAACCATATGAGAGACAGGAAACAAATCTGAGGTTTATTTGTTTCAAGTTTTTTTCCTGAGTATTCATGCTTTGCTGTTGGTTTCCAGTGAGAAACCCCAAAGAAAACCTTCCATGTGCTAAAGGGTACATCTGGCTCTAACAGTTGGTGGAGCATCATTGCACAAAGTGGATGTTCTTTGTGCCCCAGAGGCTTCCCTGGTGGAGCACTTGTTAGCTGAGAAAGAGAGATATGTTTGAAGAAGAGAGCTGTTGCCTTCCAGTCGATTGCTCAGGTGTGGCTGTATGCAGTGAAGCACTATTAGGCCCTTGGGATATTTGCTAGCAAGCTTCAGAAGCTCTGAAATTTTCCTCTTGTCCTGGATCTGGTAGGACAGCAGGCTGTTCTGTTGCTGTCTTGCCACCCTGAAGAACACTCCATGCAAGGCTTGAAAGCTGTTGGTGCAGAGGGCTTGTGGGGATGAAAATTCCTCCCAAGTACATGCATTATGAAAGCACCATGCATAGTTAATAGTGAAGACAGATTTCACAAGGACAGAATAGTGCATTATTCCCAGAATATGTAGCTTGAGCTCACCTGTATGCACAAGTCAGTGCAGTGTGGAGTGAGAAAATCAGCTAATCCATAGCATCTACTGGGTGCAGAACCTTGGGGCAGAGGAGCAAATGCAAAACATCTCAGGCATGCTCAGCTTGCTTCTACTGAAAGCTGAAACTATTCAAGTTGTTTTGCATTGGGCTTGAGCTTAGGGTTTCCTCAGCTTGGTGTAAAGAAGGTTCCTTATTTGTCTTGTGCCTCATTTGTTTTATTCTTTGAACAGTGAGGAAATTCTCTGATGATTTGTGTGGCACTCAATTAATGGGATTTTTATAACTAGAATCAGCTGATTTGTAGAAACAAATAAAGAAAATATTTTTAAAAGGCTTCCTTTGTGAAAACCATGTCTAAGCATTATTAATGACCTTCATATCGAAACAACAGACACATCACACAGCTTCTAAGTTAGCCTTTCTGAAATCTCATCCATATAGTACCTTTGAAGCAGTTCTTATAGGGATTATCTCCTCTACCCTCAGCCTCTCTCCTCCATAATTGAAAGTTTATACAGCAACCATGTGATTTCAATATGGGCTGCTGGAAAATGTGACTTCTTTAATTCTCTCCCTGTGCCACGGTGTGATGGGAATGATGATGGGAGTTGTTACACTGATAACTGCAAATACTGTTAATGTTGTTGCCAGACAAAACAAGTGTTCAGAATTGCATGAATTTTTTCCCCCCCTTTAATTTTGACCCTCCCATCTCAATTGGGCAGAATTGAGATGTGATGAACTCAGACCTACCTGCTTGATGCTGCAGGAGATTCTTTGTAAGTCAGAATGTCCCACAATGGGCAGGTATGTTAGTTCTATATTATTGTTATATTCTGTATTATTGGATATTCTGTATTATAGGTATGTCTGCTGTCTGCACTCTGCTGTAATGTAGCTGTTAATCAGTGAAAACACACAGAATGAAATATGGCCCTTGTCAATGCTACTACTGAGGTGCACTTGCAAGTCAGAGCCCTTGAGAGTAACTGCAGGTGTTGCCAAGCACACACTGTACCTGCAAAAGGGAAGATGTCTTTTGGGAAACACAGTCTCAGGTTGGGGGTGGTTAGGAACTGATGCTTTAAATTGTAGTTTTGTGGAGATGGCAATCACAAACAGCATTTTTTACCCTTTTTCTTTATAGTGTTTTTTTTCTGTGCTGTAAGCCTGCTTTGCCTGAATGTGCCTTAAACTACCAAAGCAGTAGCTGGAGAGGGCAGCCTCAATTGTCCAGTTGGCCATGGGCTGGAGATACTGAGTCACTCTTAATTAGAGCAGTGTGGCAGGATCTCTTCATTCCCTGAATAGTGGCATGCACAGTAGTATGCTGCTGGAAATTTTTCTTCTGCCAAAGACACATTTACATGCTTTAAACCGAATGCAGCAAACCCAAGACTTTAAAGATGCCTCAGAGGTCTCATTTGATATTGCAGATGGTGCCTCTGGTGTATGAGGATTTATGAGAGATGGCTCCTGTCTGCTTTGGAGAAAGTATTCTGTGCCCATAAGCAAGTCTCTCTGACACCCTGTTGGCAGTGGGGTGTGAATTCATTGCAGGGGAGATGTTATTTGAGTCACCTCAGAAGTGACTTACAGTAAATAATCCAGGTTGCCTTCAAGAGCTGTATTTTTGCTATGCTTAATGTTCAAGGCTTGAGATCAGATTTTTGGGATGTTTCCTGCTGGAGCAGGATGGAGGCTGAGTGTTGTGTGCAAGACACACTCAGGGGCTGGTCAGACACAGCTGACACCGGAATTCTGCCTATCTTCAGCAGGAAGCTGGAGCATTTGTTCCTGTGGTTTGGTTTCAAAACTACTGTGTGCTTGATGTCACAAAGCCACCCAGCACTGAGGTTCAAGGAACTCTTGTTGCTGGAGCAGCTCTTGGCTCCAAGGATGTGTGTCCTGTCAGCAGAGCAGGTGGCTTGGGGTGCTGCAGGTTTGTAGTCCCCCAGTCAGAGTGGGTCTCTGAGCATCACTGGGCTCTTGCTGCAGACCTGTGCTGGCTGTGGCCAGATCCTTCACTCCTGCATCCCACATCTCTGCTGTGCTTCTAAATCCTTGGGACTACAGGTGATTTTGGAGATGAGATCCTGGCCTGAGATTGTTCTGGGGAATGGCTCAGGAAGGAAATTCCCCTGAGTTACCCTGTAAAGGGGTGTGGGCTCCCCTGTGGGAGGTTGATGTGGTGGTGGCTGCATCCATCCCAGGGCAGCTGCACTCGTCAAAGGAGGGGTGAATGGGATTAGTGAACACTGAGTTCTCTGAGTGTTATCAAATCACAGAATCATCGGTTCAGGAAACTCTAAAAAGTGTAAAATCATCAGTGAATATAAGAATATGGGGCAGTAGCTAATACGTGGTGTGTACCTACATACCTCTCCCTCTCTGCTAATTCCCTGTAGAAACAGGATACTGATCTATACAGCCCATCTTTATGCTGAGAATGGAGAAATCTAAACAAACTGGAGTTGTGACAGGTCACATTTCATGTTAAACTTCATGTTCCTCATATGCTAAACATTAAATCAAATACTATGATGCTAACTATGTATTTTTCTTTTAAGCATATTAATATCTCAGCTGTTTCTTCACCGTTCTCTCTTGTTGGGAAAGACAGTTCTTGGTGTAGGAGATAAAATGTATTTGTTTTCACCATTAATAAACGTTAATAAACATCCAGTTGCATTCATTGACAGGACAATGAATCAGTGCAGCAATATACCAAGTCTGCTGAGGCCACTTCAGGAATGTGGTGCTGCAGTTCCCTGCAGACCAAGCACAAGGTTCTTGTGGGTCTGTTGTTTTCTGCTGTCCACTTCAGAGAAAATTAATTGCAGAACATGGGAACTTTTTTCACATGCTGCATATACTGTGAGCAGAGATGACTGGAAAAAGATTTTGAAAATACCAGAGTCCTTGGTTTGGAAAAGGTGGAAAAATGATCTATTTTAATTCATTCCTGGTGGGATTCTGCCAGTGTGGAGTAAATCAGAAGACAGATTTGTTATGTCCTTATGGTGTTATCTTTCTGTAACAGCACAAACTTGCTTATTTGGTGGCTAGAAAAAGTTTTACAGCTTAGTTATTAAAGAAGTGAGAACCAATCTGGCTGCACTATGAAAGAGATGTGCTAATGTGATTTCAGTGCAAAATGGTCCCAGACACCATCCTCCTTGAAAAGCTTTTAATGTCTGGAAATAGTTTCTAGTTTTAGGATTTGGGAGGAAAAGGTAATTTGATTTTTTTTTTTTTAGTTTCTCTTCCTTTTTTTTTTTTCCACTTTACATTTGAACTAGAATATAGGAGAAATTAAACAGTTTTGCTTTAGTTGACAAAGACACAAAATTCCCTTCCATTTTGTAATAGATTTTTTGTTGTTGTTTGGAGTAATTATATTAATTTATTTTTTTTTTCTCTGGGCTAGGGATATTTTCTTGTCCTCATGATAGCAGTTGAACATAGGTCTTGAAGTCTGTCTCTTGTGTTTTTCAGCTTTTTCCCTGTGGGCAGCCTTTAGCATCAATAGGGCTTTTTTCTGCCAAGCTACTTTGATCTACAACACAGGTAATGATAACCAGGGCTCACCTCCCTTCTGAACTGGAGCATCTCTCTTCACAGGAAAGAATCTAAAGAATTACTTGTTGCAAGGAAATAAATTCAGCGTGGAGTTTCATATCTGATTTCAGCTATGCAAACTGTTGTCTTGGCTAAAGGGAATATACTTTGTCCTTAAAAACAATTACTTCAATTATTTTTTGCTACGCTGCTCTCTGCTGATAGCATGTGTGGCCAGTGGGATTTAGTTAAAGTATGTATGTTCTTAATATCAGCTCAGAAAGAAAGCCATCTCAGCTGGAAAAAAAAAATAATGTAATGTAAAAATTAGATTATTTTTTCCATCTGACCTTGCCTCTATTTAGTTATCTCAGCTTTTGATGTTGAATTTACAGATTAATAATTGTAGCTGCTTGAGCAAAGTAAGGGCAGAGAACAATTAAAGCTGTAAACAAATCCCTCTTCAACTCTGCCTTTCCCTCATTCGGAGCGCAGTGTCTACAGCAGTGCTGTAACTGTGCATACAATTACTCACTTTCCTAACAACTCTGGGAAAACTAATTACTTTTTCAGAGCCATTTGTAGCCAAAGGAGGGAGAGTTTTCTGCTGCTGCTGAAGCTGAGGGTCTGGGTTTACCCTGCATCATCGTGATGCCGCAGCTGAGTTTATTCCATCACAGCTTGTGGCCGCAGCAGCCCAGCAGCAGAGGCCTGGTCAGGGCCACAAAGGGTTTTTCAGGCTGGTTTTGTTAAGCCTGTGCTCAGTTTTACCCAGTCCTTCCTTAAGCCGCTGCGTGTCCCTAGTTCAGTGCTTTGAGGCTCGCTTGCCTGGCTCTGATCCGTCCCCAGGCAGGCTTTGGGTGCTGTGTGAGGGCTCGTCCTGCTGTGGCTGCGATGGTCCAGCTCTGTGACTCAGTCACTGTTGCAGGTGCTGAGCTTTGCTTTGGCTGCTTCACAGGTAATGTTTAGAGGTTGGAGCCAGAGCTGCTGCAGTGTGAGGGCTGTAAAGGTCAGGTCCCTCAGCCCCACGGCAGCTGATGGCATGTGACTGCAGGTGTGGCTTCCTGAAGGTGCTGTGGCAGGCACACCTGCAGCGTGTCTTCAGAGAACACGCTGTTCTTGGAAGCTAGACCTGAAACTGGCTTTGCCTTCAGGGGTTTGTAGTGGAACAGCCTGTTATAGCCTAACTACCTGAATTTTGGACTTGGAAAGCCTCTTAATCATCTCATAAATCTAATCAGTGCTGCAATTTTTGGAAAACTCGGGATTCAGCTTGGAGTTGAAGCCAAGTGTTCTCGGAGAAGATCTAAATCTGTTGGAGAAGGTGGATTCTTGAGCTAGGAGCGTGATGTAGAACAGACACCTGTCCTCACTGTTGCTGACAGAATTGATGAGCTGGTGTCTATCCTAAGCAAGTTTTATTTTGCATCTCTAGGTTTGAGGGTGCTTTTAATGCAGAGCACTGCTCACCAGATCAGAAACACGATTAGGAAATTAGATGTTTAATTATACGGACCTGCTGTACAGAGACTCCCTGTCCTGCCTCCAAAGTTGTTTCTGAAGCTTAAATCTTTACATATAGGGGTGTTCTGTCCACTCTAAGGTATTTTTTAGAATTAAAGGCCAACTGATTTGCCTGGAATTTGTAGGCCATCTCTCTGTTTGATGGTAATGAATTTGAGAGCTGAGTTAGTGCTCTGTCCAAGCAGGAATGAACCCCTCTCTGGGAAAGGGGAGCTCTCCTGAGTCTTTCATGCCTGCCTTATTTCATCTCTGCCTGGATTTCCATGACTGTGAAATGACTGATAAATTGTGGAGCTGTGGAGGTGCAAATAACTGCAGTGCTCTGGGAACCTTTCCTGTGAAGTGGTAGTGAAAAGCAGTTTTATGGCTACTGCTCCTTTTGTGCTTTGTGCACACCAGCCACAATTACCACGACACCACAGGTAGCTGCAGTGCTTCTTTATTTAGCTGATGACATGGGGAGCACTGGTGAAGTAAACTCTCCTTGGGAATACACCAGCTACTTACCCAATCAAATATTGGAAGGGGCCTTTTGAGTCACAACCAGCATGATTTCACATGTTCTGTATGTGAAAGGAATTAAATTTTCTAATCTAGTGCTATAGCCAACTAACTGCCTCACTAGGAGAGCAGAAGGGCATTAAAGTGCTAAATTTAAAGCAACCTTTAAAATTATTTTTGTCTAATAAATGATTCCAGGAGCTGGATTTTGCCATATGCTCATGTTCCTGTTCCTGCTAGCAGCCTGTTTGATCTCACATGTGGTTTTGCACCATGTCACATCCTGTCACAAAGTTCCCCCTTCTCCCTACCCAGTCCTAGCACTAACTTCCATTTTGCTTCATTTAAGTGTGAATGACTCAATGTGGAGGAAGTCTTGGAGGTGGGAACAAAGCCTGAGCAGAAGGATCCTCCCTCTCTTCTCCCTACTGCCAGCCAAGCCACTAGAGGAGATAAATCCATTTTTCTCTCCCTCTGTTTGCTCTGAGTTTGCCTGCAGTGTTTCATATGCTGAGCAATGCCTGCATCTCAGTGTGTGCTGTTGGCTGTGTGGGGTTTTGGGGCAGGAGAAATAGCCAAGCTTGAATGCTGGAGGGAGGCTGGTGGTTCAGGAGGCTGCAGAGGTAATGTCAGCCCTGAGCATCCCAGCACTGTGCTCCTTGGGGCCTGGGATGTTTCCCCACAGCCCTGCCCTGTTGGACAAGATGGGCTCTAGGCAGGGCAGCAGGAGCTGTGCCAGCCCCTTGACTGGCTCTGAGGGCAGAAGTTAAGTGTGAGATTTTGGTGGGAAATCCCAGAAGTGCTCACAGGGCAGTCAGTGTGACAACTTGCTCCCCCAAAAAAACCTTAATGTTTGTTTTGGTCTGCTTCAAAGGCTGTATCAGGCTATCTTCTGACAAGAAATGTGGGGATTGAATTCCATCTCTGTCAGGAGCTGCTCACTTTTGAGGTACCTGTTCCTGTAGCTTCCACAAGGCCCAGCAAAGGCAGGAGTGTGGGATGTAGGACAGGTCCTTGTGTTGACAAGCTGGTGAAACACTTGAGTAAACACTTGTTCCTTTGTATGGTCCAGGGGAATCTCTAATTTAAATGCTGGTGGCTGCAGAAAAGATGCTAATGAACCAAACCTAGCAGCCTCATTTACCCACATGAAATCACTCTGTGGATAACTCATTCTCCTGGAAAACACAATAATGGTAATGTAGTATACAGAACACAATGCTGCCCTCTAATAAGTCTGACAGACAGATTGCAGTGTATATTTAGACTGTATTAGCCAGCCAGAGATTTCAAATGCTTTTATGTGCAGACCCTTGTTGCTCAACTCCTGCTCTTTGCTGGTTGAGCTAAACTAATTAAAGGAAAATATACTATAGCTGAGAAGTCTGGAAAGATAAAAGCTTTCTAAACAAAATAGGCTTCCTAAATGAACATCTTTCAGTACTTTTTGCAGAAATGAAAGTCTTGATTTTTCTTTGGGAATGGCTATTATGCGATGTTTTGTTCAGTATCTTGGGTTCATCAATATGGACCTTTATTGCAGACTATAAGCACTCAAAAAGACCTGCATTACCTGGCTCCTTTGCTCTTACAACATGCAGGAACAGTTCTGTTGAGACAGAAAGGCAACTAAGTCATTTAGTGCGTGATATGGCCTGCAGCCTCCGAGCAGCAGCACTTCTGGTGTGTGTTTAAGGGTTTAAAGCTCATTGTGGCTGAAGTGTGCCATGCCTGAGGGCTGCCTGCATAGGCTCATTAGAGCTTGTAACCTGTGGAGGACTCTCCTGCTTCTCCTTCGGTGTGCCTGCAGAACGCTGCCCCTCTGCTTTGGCTGCTGCAGGCTGCCAGGCACAGGACATCTGTGTCCTTGGTGGCTGCAGTGGGAATATCTCCTGGCTCAGGTGCTGGAGTGCTGCTGGGGATCTGCTTTGCTCCAGGCCAGTAAATGTGTCAGGGCTTTTGGGAGGAGGGTGTTACCAGTAAAAGAGTTGCCAGGTGTTGCAGAGCTGTTATTTGAGGGGTGCTGGCCGGTTTGAAGGCCTTACAGCTGTGGGAGATGTTCCATGGGATGTCCTCTCCTCACTTGCACAGGGCCATAGGTACCAGATATGGGTGGGTTTGGGGTCTGTGCATTGAATTGCTCAGCAAAAGCACCATCTGGATCAGTCTATTGGTGAAAGATGAGCACAGCCTCACTGGTGTTCCCATGTACCTGGAGGAGTCCTTTCCATGTCCTGTGCTATCCCATGGGATGGAACAGGATCCAAAAACACCAATTTAATCTATTTTTATGAAGATTGCTTGTTTCTTTTGGGGATTTTTTTTTTTCTGAAGAGCAGATTGGCTTTCTGAAGCAGTTAGCTTGTGCTTTTATCTCTTCAGACTGCAAACACTGCATGTAGCTGGGGCTGGCCTGTTGTGTGTTCATCTGGCTTAAACCATCACAGAGAGACTTGGGCAGGCTCAGGCTCCCTCTTGGTCTGTCTGAATTTGACTTGAGTAGCCTGTTCTTATCTTCTTGATGGTGAAAATTGGCCCAGAGTAGGAAAACTTTATCTGTGGAGGTAATGTAGAGGCAATATCTGCCGTGAAGTTGAAATGTAGAAGCTGTGGTGTTCAGCCTGTTCCCTCTGCAGCCGGAGTTTGGAGGATGGATTTGGCGTTCGAAGAAATACTGGCACACTGTGCTGTTGAACGCTGGCCCACTTCAACTGCTGATGGAAAGATAAAATACATTTTGCTCTTGGCTGGCTTCCTTGCTTGCTGATGCTGATAACATCACGAGCTAAGCATTTCAGGGGTCATCTTGAGAGAAGCAGAGACCTGAATCCCCCTGATCGCACCTTCCTGACGGCATTGCCATTTCAGGGAAACATTGTCGGGTCAGAGATCAGTGTCTGCACGTCAGCAGAGCGGGTGCCAGGTGACTCCAAGGGCTGCTGTGCAATGGGAGTCATGAGCCAAAGCAGGATGGTGGTAGTTCT